ATATATATATATATATATATATATATATGCACACCAAAATGATGAGACAGAACATAACGGCGTTCTACCACATTCCTCTAAGCCAATTACTCTTCAGCAGACTTATCCTTTGAGGTGTGCTGCCAGGGTGAGACATAGCCTCCATGTGTATGCTCATAGTCAAGAAAACAGTACCAGTATAAACTGACTACAAAACCATCCTCAGCTTTAGTCGACAGGCTGATTTATTGGCACCAGAAACCATAAAATAGTGAGCGAATTTCACTTGATAAGGTAAGTTTTACTCCAATTTTTTGATCCCGTACACCAGCATTACGTCTTATCTTATGCACATCCCCATTCGAATCCTTCAGATTTGTCTCAGGAGTACATACGATATTCACCTGAAAAGCAAACCACAGTTTAATCCTCACAGCTTCACGTTCCAAAAACATTTATCTCATAAATACCCCACCATGCAAACAACTTCATGCCTCTGAGAATCAGTTGACACTCGATCGCACCATTTCCGAATCTGAAGCTTCATTCTCAATTTAACATTCTCCTTTTGTTTGCTTTGCATATATTGCACAACTAACAACCACATACAGCATTGCCCATTCTTTTCTTGTGGGGTCGTCTAGTAAATTTCGTTCAAAATGGCATATTCAATCACGAATTTATCTTGAATATCTAACTCGCGGCCTCATCGCAATGAGTGCTAACGTCGAGTCAACCCCTTCACTTCCATTACCTCCATTGGGAGGTCAGACGAATGCGTGTCAAACGAAAGACACACGTTCTGTTAGGAAACACGAGTAATTACTCCATATTCTGTCCCAATTCTTCGAATTTACTGGAATAAACTTGGGAATAAAACGTGTCTTTCGGGACACTTGTCGTGGGTTTTCAACCGGTTGGATATTGGTAGGATTTTGAAGGGTGTGATAAAATTCCGACCCAAATAATTGACGAGAAATTTCACGTTTTTGACGTTCAACTTTCTCTGGAAATCGTCACGTACATAGGCTAGTAAGCACAGAGCTACATTTAAAATTTACTGCACTCAAGTTTTTCTTCAAAAACCTTTACGTATTATTTGCATTTTTAAATAAAATCTAGAATTGAAAACACAGTCTTCAATCCCTGGTGGTGATTAATTACAGATGCGCGCAATCCTTAAGAACTCGCCCGCGGTAATGTAAGTCTGAAATAGTTAAGGTGGTCTTCTCAAATGATATTCTTGATAGAGGGATCAAGTTTGTAATTTAACAAAGCCTGTTGTTGGCTCTAGTTGGTTTAAGCGAATCAACTCGACACATCCTTTTCGACCGTTTCAGTTTTGTGTTAAAATGACCTTGCTAATTTTTAGAAACACGGAGTCCATTATACATGCACTTAACTGAGTGGTATAAAAACAGTTGATCGAAAAGGTTATTTGTGGGATTGCATATCAAAAATGTGGCTTTCGAATAGTCTGACGCATATAGTGATATTTTCGTTGTTGGGTTTAACGACAGCCACCTTCTACAGAACGTGCAGTAAGCGTTGACGTAGTGCATTCTGAAAATTTATTCCCAGTAGGCGGGTGTTTGTATGTTTTCTTCATCTGATCCCGACGTGTCCTTTTCTAAAAGACGTGATACAATATATCCTCAACTGGCATCTTCATGGTTGCTCACATCATACTCTTTTTCCATGATAAAAACTTGGCTAGCTCACTTTATTTATTATCATTGCACCATCCATAGAAATACGTGAGCACAAATAGTCTCTGACTAAAACTCGGAAGGCAGCTACATAACTAAAAAGGCACGCAAACACTTTATAGAATTTGTGTAGGCAACATACAACTTGATATAATTGGACGGAAAACTTGGCCACTAACCATTGGCGACAGCAAAATGTTTTACTTAATCCCAAAATGACTGCAGAGAAACACTATATCAAGGAAAACTCTGGAGTTTCATGAATGAGCTATTTGGATTCCTCTATCAGCTGATTGAGCTAGGCATAAAATTTCCATATGACTGTTATACTGAAATCTGTATTTTGTTTTTCTTTCCCTGCAGACCTAAGAGATGTTAGGTTGATGTCAGTGATGATCACCCCATGCGAAAGCGTTCCTTGCACACTTTACAAAGGAGAAATGGCTTCCATTGATATAAGCTTCAGAGCAGGTAAGTAGTAAACCTCGTGTTTCCTAATTTTGGCTGCTCAACTTCTCTGCGCATATTTCACCGTTTCATCGTCCATTGAGGTTCTATAGACGATTATCGAGAACAATTAGGAAATCCTCAGCGTTTTTCTTCACAGGGCCTGGAAAGTTTTTGAGGAAATTTGCGGAATAATGCAGATGTTTTTGCCAGACATTTCTGATCCTAAGAAATATTTTTGAGATGGCTGCCACACTTTACGTAGAATAGCAAATGTTAAAAACCGACATTGAGTTTGCTGTTAGCCTGTGTTAAAAAAAGAGCTTCTGGGCTTTTAAAATGAATAACCCAGAGAAACGTTTGGGGATAAAAAACAGGCACATCATATGTGACCGACTGTTAACCTATGAGATGTAAACACATATATAGAGGGTCAGCTGGTAACCAAAAGTGGAATGTGGAACTCATTTCGCGTGAGAGTATAAGCTCGGATCGGATAAATTCACGTTATACAACAGAACGAAATCCGAACTTGGAATTAGTGTAAAACATATGCATCTACTCTTTCGGATCCATATTTTTCTCGGGTTTTCTGTATTTGTTGATGTTGTATAAGCCTTTATTAGCAAACAGAATAATATGGAACAGTTTTCACCTCAGGACGCAGCAAATTCCTGCAACATGGTTCATATTTTCGTACTAGCGTGACATGTTAGATGACAGTCAGGGCAACCATCTTGTTGGCAAGCCCTAAAGAACTTTTGACTTAAATTAGCTCTTGCAAACAGTGTAGTGAATGTACGGTTGCATTGAAAACTTGATGTTGTTCTTGATTCTTTCCAGTTAATACCATAAACCATATTGAACTTTAGTGAATAAATGCAAATCGCCTGCGTCTATATTTGATCCTGCATGTCTATTTGCTACGTGTTTGTCAAATAGGGATGTATCGGGTCACATACTTTACTAGGTGCTTGCAGACAAAGTCTCGTGATAATTCTGCGGGAGTAATTGCACCGCGAAAACGATTTTGAAAAGAGAAACCAAAAAATTCGTTGAATGACTGAAGTTAAACCTAAGAGTTGTAAGGAGACCTTTAAACTTTGCCGTCACTAGCTGACTTTGAAGTGGGTATGGGGTGACAAACAAACTTCCGATTCCGGGATAACGAGACGACAATGCTGATTTGTCCGAGTTCAGTACATTGCGCTCAGCCTACATTTCAATGTCTGAATAACAGACGACAATCTCTGTCGGACTTTTTCTCACTTATCTGGCTGAGTCAATTGTATGGCCTAACTCTGTCAAGCGACACGGTCGGTCGTCCACCAGTTGACCTAATAAATATAACTCACTTCCTCACGAAAAGAATCGCATCGCAGGAGACGTGTACGGCTCTTACGTTTTATGTGAAGCATTGCTAAACACGAGATTAAAACACCATATTTCCCGGGCATTAACTGTTATGGCAACTGAACCTGACTATTATACTCGTAACTTGCAAGCCAGGGTGTCCAGGATGTTATCGTCAATCCCGCGACCGTTCGCGCTATATTTTGCTCCGTTCATCAAATCTAGCAATATGAAGATTTAATTTCTGTCAGGTATCTGAGCATTTCTTACTTTCGTTCAAAATGGTTTGGTACAGTTTTCCAGCTCTGGAGCATTTCACGATTGCACTGCAGCATTTGAGGAAAAAGCAAATCAATTAACGTCTGTCCTATAAGTGTCGATTTAATCCACATTTGGTTTTCATTTTCAGTAAAACTCCCACCTCAAAATAGGTTCTAATTTGCACTATTCCCCCCTCAAATTGGACTCATTGAATCTGATACAGACATTTTGCGTGTTGAACTATGCACATTGATGATCAGACATATTCTGCAAATGATGATTTTCACCGGTATTTTGTAGGAACAACTGTATAAAAACCGTTTCTACACTACCACACAATTCGCTATTTAAGATTAGAGGCCAGTATGTCAGTAAGGCGATCGTATCAGTTATCGGACAGTATCGTTACATTTGACGACAAAATGGCTTGTCCTTTTTCGTTTCATTCATTTTCGTTGCTCCTCACAGATTTCGGTAGCATTCAAACATTTATCATTCAGCTCTAAATCATTAAATTTGTCTGAACGGTTGTATTCTTAATTTTTTTAATTATTTTGCTTTGTGCAGACGCGGACGTTTCGACTGGTCTGGCCACTGTGCGCGCAAATTACGGTAATTTTGCCGTTCGGTTTCCACAGTTGGAGGGGAACATTTGTGATTATTTGGGAAGGTCGTGTCCAATTTTTGCAGGTGGTGCTTACACCTACTCATTTTCAAGTGTGCTGGACAGGCTCATTCCATCAGTGAGTCCAAACAAAATCATTACTGAACCCACCTTGGGAACTCGCGAAGTGTTTAATCGTTTCACCGTGTATGTTCAGTTTAGCTTAAGGTCTCTTGAACCGATTATGTATACCTATTCTGCTTCGTAAAGTTTAATAACTGTAGGAGAACCATAAAACCACAAAGGTATGAGAAGTACCTACCAGAAGCAAGGGCCGGTCAAACGCGGCATCAATGGCTTTTGTACCGAACGGCCGGCTATTTTTAGATGTTTTCAAACAGCGTAGTGCCTTTAATATGCCAAAACGTGCTCATGATACTAATTGCTTCCACAAATGTAGGTGTTTTACGTTAACCACCAGGAATATCGCGGCTAACCTTGCTGTTTCAAAGTTGGTCGTCTCTCATCGGTAATTAAACCAAATGTCGGATATGTCTTCTACAAATACTTTACGAAAGATATACTGAATTGCACGCCTTTGGAGCATAAAAAATCTTTTGCTCCATGAGATATTGCACCCAGGTTTTTCTTTGATCCACAAACATATGCTATCCTAAAATACGTATATAAAGAAGTCCATTTCACCCTTGTAAATTTCATCTTATTTGCTATCATGTTTGCCTTATCAGAACCAAACACAACAAAGTACTTGAACATGCATTACGTCAAGAGATAACCTTATCTATAGAGGAAAATGTTGGTAGCTCAGGTATCGTAGATGGTGGTCGTTGGCTTGTTCGCTGAGCTGGGCAATTTGATTGCAAACGTTTCATCACCAATCGAGGTGACATCATC